GCCAGACATTCTCCTTCAGGATTTTTTGGTAAACAGCAGAATTCATGGTTCCAGGTCAGCAATGGCTTTTGCCTTGGAACTCTCGCATGGATGCCGTTTTTGCCCAGTCTCTTTCTTATTGCTGAATTATGAAAACTGACCTTAATTGAGGCGAGTGAGGCCTGCAGTTCTTTAGATGTGCCACTCCTGGGAAGGTTCACCACTGTTCCAAGTTTTCTCCATTTGTGGATAATGGCTCGGACCGTGGTTTGCTGGAGTTCCAAAGTTTTAGAAATGGCTTTAACTAGCTCAACTATTTTGTTTCTCATCTGTTCTTGAATTTCTGCGGCATGATGTGTTGCTCTTTAAACATGCTTCACTTTGTCAGACAGCTTCTATTCAAGTGATTCCTTGATTCAACAGGTCTGGCAGTAATCAGGCCTGGGTGTGGCTAGTGAAATTTTACTCAGCTTTCTAAAATAATGTGGTTAATCACAGTTCTTTCATGATTCAACAGGAGGGGGCAATAAATTTTTCACATAGGGCCAGGTAGGTTTGAACAGCTTTTTTCCCTTAATAAATGAAATTATCATTTAAAAACTGCATTTTGTATTTACTTGCATTATCTTTGTGTAATATTTAAATTAGTTTGATGATCTGAATCTTTTAAGTGTGACAAATATGCAAAAAATTTAAAAAACAGGAAGGGGGCAATAAACTTTTCACGGTACTGTGTGTGTGTGTATATATGTACATGTATATATATATATATATATATGTGTGTGTATATATATATATATATATTTATACATATATAGGCCTATACCTTATCTGTCATCACAGTTTAATATATGCTTATATGTTTATATTCAACATATTCAACAGTAAAGACAATGTTAGGAAAGAGCACAATTCCCAGTGACTAAGAAAAAATAAGAGACTTCTATCGCACTGACACTGGGTGTAAAGGGCCCACCGGAAGGGTGTCATCTTAGGTCATTTCCTGCCATTCAAATTCAAACACAGGCGCTGTCCTGCTCAACACAAACACAGGATGTGATCCTTAGCTAGATTTATCAGAAACAGGCAGGCAACAGACACAATGGCAAGACATGTTCTATATTAGTTTCTGTATAAAATAAAGGGGAAAAAACATAACTAACTTTTGTGGCCAAGTAGTCTGTCTTCAGTCTCTGTTTAGGGCTACTTGTCACTAGGGCTGTAAATACTAACAATGGTTGTATATGTTGGTTTCAAACATTTAGTTCATATTTTTGTATGTTATCCTATTACATTTTTGGTATTTCACAAGTCATTTTGTTTCACATTAGTTTCATTTCTAGATGTTTCTTTAATGTCTTTGGTATACATATTGTTATATGAGATCAGTAAATTAATTCATCACAAAATATACTGTATGCAATAGAAATAGATTAACAATATCATTACAACATTATTCACAGCAATTGTTCCCTCTATATGTCATAACTTTAATTTGTGAATCATAATTCATTCAAATACATGCTTTTCTTCATGTTTCATCTCTCCTGGTTTTGTCAGATTCAAAATTATCCTTATTATTGTTTAATCTATTTAGAATGCTATTAACAAAAGACCATCAATATTTCTTTGTTAAAGATTGATACTTGCCAGCTCTCTAATAGGTTAGACTGGACACTTATACAACCTTTTAATAATGTATCTCTGTAGTCTATATTATACAGTAGGTCAACTCTCATTGTTAATATGGTGTGAATATGATTCTTCATCATAAACCTTAGCATTGTGAAACTTGAGTAGCTTAAGCTGAACTACTAAAAGTATCAGTCTGCTCTATAAAATATACTTCTTATTATCCTAAATCAGATGCTCAGTGTACATCTAAAACTGTACTGGTGTGTGGTGTCACGTCGTGAGCAGCCATAGGCTGAAACATCTGGGGAAGTAGTCAAAACAATAAGCAGCCTGGGTAGTTGTTTTTTGTTGGCGGCAGGATGTCGCTCTGAGAAGAGACAAATGAAGCCTGCTGCTTAAAAATGATTTCCTTTGGAAGTTATTCACTAAACAGGATGCATCAGTTTCAGTCCTGTTCTGATACTTGAAAGGCCTACGAACAATTTCTTCTCCATTCTCTGAGATGAACTGAATATTTTCTCCTCAAAGCGAGTAGTATTTTATTATTAATGATACTGACGGGATGATGCGCGTACTGTTTCTGATGTTGTCCTGTTTTGTCGCTGGCCGGACCGATGGAGTGAGCACAACGTGCACAGCTGAGGCTTGCCTTACGTTGCATTTGGAGGAGAAACGTTTTGAAAAAGCTTCAGAAGACTGTATCAATAATGGCGGCAAATTGGTTACTATGAGAAATGAAAATGAACTTCAGAGCATCAAATCGGCTCTTTTAGCAGCAGAGAAATTCAACATCCTTAACTCTAAACTTTGGATCGGACTTGTGTTGCAGAAAAGACACTGCACCGATTTCACTGAGGAGTTACACGGCTTCAGATGGACTTCAGAGCCGAGAGATTCCAAATATTCCAACTGGAAAAAGAAACCTTTGAGCACATGCACGGAAAAAAGGTGTGTGTCGATTTCACTGGCAGACGGTCTCAAGTGGTCAGATGGCTCATGTAGAGACAGCGCATTTTATATGTGTAAATTTCTCTTCAAAGGCATGTGCAAACCAATAGTGTTGGAGAAACAAGGTGATGTCAAATACAACGTCCCATTCTTATTTAAACCGCTAAGTCCAAATGAAAGGTTAGCGATGTTTCCACATGGGACATTGGCTGAAATACAGTGCGGCGGGTCGGAAGATGCAGAATCGTTTGTCACAGTTTGTGACGACAATAACGGTCTTTTTGGCTGGACAAATTTAGAGAGTCTTTGCGCACGAAATAAACGCTGCAAAAACGGAGGCTGTGATCACCTATGTTTTGAGACTGCAGGAGCAGGTGTTAGTTGTGAATGTCATGAAGGTTATTACCTGATGGATGATAAAGTGAGTTGTGCTCTCAGAAATAACTGCGAAAACTCACCTTGCGAATCAAAGTGTGTACCGACTGCCAGTGGCTTTTCATGCGCATGCGCGGAGGGATTTCATTTGGCTGAAGACAGCGTCAGTTGCGTTGATATCGATGAATGTCAGCAACGTACCTGCAGTGAACACAGGTGTCACAACACGCCGGGAAGCTATTTTTGTGAGTGTAATCCCGGCTTCAGGCTTGTCGCTGGCAAATGTGAAGACGTGGACGAATGCACCGAACTCAGATGTCAACAGGGCTGTCTCAATTCACAGGGTTCATTCTCTTGTTACTGCCACGCAGGTTACAGTTCATCATTAAACGATAGCGGGATATGTGTAGATATCGATGAATGTATCAGTAGACCCTGTGAAGACATCTGCTTCAATACCTTGGGCAGTTTTAAATGTTCCTGTAGGGAAAACTTAATTGTGGCTAAAAATGGCATCAGCTGCGTCCCGGATCCCACAGATAAACCACAAAGCACTCCATCTTCAGATCATAGAGAAGCATTCATCACTAAACTGAATCAGTTACCTGTCACTTTTGGACCGACAACAGTCTACCCCCCTCCACTTACAAACGCAAAAACGGACTCTAGTAAACGCAAAGAAAGTTTTCTCGGAAGTTCTTGGATTTTGGTGTGTGTCGTAGGTTCGGTTATCCCATTGACTGTGATCATTGTGGTAATGTCAGTCTTTGTCGTCTACCGATGGAAACGGTCAAGTAAAGCCGCTTTAAAAAATGCCACTGCTGACAACTACTGCTGGGTTTCATCTGGATTGGACAAAGAGCAGGGGAAAAAATGCAACATTCAACTGAATGATTAAATGAAGCCCAGATATGAATGCTCATTTTCTGTCAGCATCAAATTCAAACGTTAATTTACTCTAATGCTGTGTTTTCCCGTTGCCTACACGTCTTTTTTCTGTAAATGTTCGACAAATTAGTGAAAATAATAAAACCACACTTGGATACTAAGTTTAATAGAAGTTGTAGGCTATATGTATTTATGTTGTCGTTTTTGACCATTTACCATTTCTGTCTTGTACCTGTTTGCTATTAAATTAATTGCTTTGTTTCATAATTATTTTGCTGATAATATCAAGATGGGCCCATGTCACATATTGTCAGAAAAGGGCAACGTTTGTATAGTAAACTTTGTATTTCTTTCTGGTAATGGAATAATGGTGGAATGTTACAGTCTGTAGAATGCAAGGTACATAGAAATAAACTTTTTTTTTTTTAATGAACCTTTTCTGAGATATATGCCTATTCATTGGAGTAAATTGTGACAATATAGCCCACTCTCCCCCTTTAAATGAAATGACACAGCTGTAGACCTGTTCACAAACTTCACTAAACGTAATCTTATATTTAAGTTTGTTTTTTTCTTCTTTTTGATTCACGATGTAGGCTACTATTGTTGTAAAAATAAAAATAAAAACCTCTGTACATTTTGGTAGAATAAATAAAGCTTCATTGAAGTTTGTGTCGATCTAAAGATTTGTTGAAGCAGAGTTTTTAACCCTAATCAAACCCACCTGCATGTAACCTAATAATCAACTAATCATAAAAACCTTGATTAGCTGGTTCTGATGTGTTTAATTAGGGTTGAAACTAAACTCACTGGGTCGTGGCTGCTCGTTCAGCAAAGGAATTGAATAAGCTTTTAATGTGCTTGAATGAATGAGTGAAGAAAGAATGAATGATTGACAGTGAACGTTAAACTCTTGGGACCACAACCATTTGAAATAGCTACTATTCATGAGTCATTTTCGTCAAGATCATGCATTTCAGAGAGCGGGCAGTGCGTGCATTGCATTTATCAGAACAAACTGACAAGTCACTCTGGGGTATTTCTTGGCTCCCTCAGGCGGGGTTTCCTTTCTATGTTTACCTTTATCTCCGGAATGGGGTTTCAAAAGGTAGAAATATTTAAAGCTTTGAACACATCCTCATGCAGCTTAAGTTGCTGTAGCTACCCCTTGAAATCAAAATAGGATGGATTATCATAACCATACGATTTTGTTCATCGTGATCATTTCGTCGTGCGCTGGAACGGTATATAGCTGTGCTTGTTCAAGAAATCTAAAACACTGTGCAAACATTTACCAAATGCCTGTGGACTTTCAAACGGCTCAACAGAATTGCAGAGAACGGGGTGGTCAGTTATTTATCCAGTCGAATGCATCAGATGAAGTTGTCGGCTATCTCCTTAATAACCTGATCGGACACTTTTGGACCGGACTCTATCTCCCAAGCGACAAGTGTTTAAGAAATACGAGCACGTTCCGCGAAGGAGAACGGATCACGGAATTCACCAACTTGGAGACCGAAGAAACGTGCGTCCCACTCTGCGTGTCTGTCTCCAGCGACGGAATGCGGATGCCGAGACCATGCACGGACAAACTGGATGGATTTTTGTGCGAGGACTCTCAAGGGGATCTTTGCAAAGGAAATGCGGTCGTTCTGGATAATGCGCAGTGTATGTTTGCACCCTGTGAACATAAATGTACTCCTTTGGAAACCGGATATAGGTGTTCGTGTATGGAACGATTCCGTCCAAATGCACGAGATCCACGCCGCTGTGATTTCTATTGCGCAACGAGAGTTTGTGAAGCGTTATGTTTGAGAGGGACCCCCTCTCAAACGGCGTGTTGGTGCCCGGCTGGTTTTGTTAGAAACGACCAAACCTGCGAAGATATTGATGAATGTGAATCAAATCACGGCTGCGCACACTTGTGCCTAAATAAGATAGGAACTTATAGATGTGCTTGCTACGAGCCGTTCATCCTCGTTAATGGAACTGAATGCACTCTTGCTCCTATTCTATATGATGGTCAAGTATTCACAACACCGTCAAGAGGGGCACTGTCGACCCCAGGAGAGTATGCTGGGCTGATAATATTCCTAGTAGTGGCTGTTTTTGCTCTATTAGTACTTGTGCGTTATTTGCGCGGACGTAAAGCAACTGTACAGGAATGCAATCCACCAGAAGAGTTTCAAGAAAGTGTATCTAAGTAAATAATAACTGCTACATAAGTTTTCTTTAAATAGCTGGTGGTAATGTCTCTGTGTGTACATCAATATGTTTGTGACTGTATAGCCTACATTCTATGAAGAATTACACTTGTTTTTTTTAGTAAGGTGTGTTTTTTTTTATTGTTTATATACGGCATTTATTATGAAGCATGCTGGGCTGTGTTTTCACTTATTTATCTTTTTGTATTGTCTATGGGATACCTTATGTGTGTATTGAGTTTGTTATATGATGCTACTACCCTACTTTAATTGCCCATTGTGGATTTAATAAAGTTAACTTAACTTGTTGGAATGACTGTAAATATCTTAATTTGTCTCTATAGCTAAAACTGAAATGTTATGTTAAAATTGAAAACTGATCTGGCAGTAGTGCTCATTATTGTCATTTTCTGTGCAGGATGTTATGGCGGTACTTTTTTTTTTTTGTGCAAAAAAATAAAACCCCGCACACTTCAGCCTAAATTTCTTCCTCCTCCTTTCGTTCTGTTATCCTTCCTATTTTTTTCTTTAGGTTTAATTCCTTGATATCTGACAAGATTTTTCCAACTGAATAACTGCATATACTCAGTGGTGTAGCTTTGTTTAACTAATTTGTTCTGGAGTACATTACCAAGTAACTATTTATTGAATTTTACAGACAATATACTTGAATGGATGAGATAAAAACATCTTTGACATGTTAAAAATATCTTTGCTAACAGCTGTTTTATATTGTTATAGTATGTGCTCTAAATAAATGAGATGTATTTTTTTATGGGAAATTTTCCGTGCAAACCTTGAAGGTTGATCTGCTGCAAAACAATTATTTTTGGTGCCATTAGTACAGTTAGATAACTGTCAACAGCCTTAATGACGTTTACAACTAAACACTGAATGCTTTTTAGTTGTGTGATATATATATATATATATATATATCTAATTCACTAATAGCTTAAATAATCACAGTTCATGTTTGTCAATGGTCCATTCTGTTTCAATGGTTAACTATCAGATGATTTGTCTGTTAATAGCCAGATGAAACTGCACCATGAAAGGAATAGGTGTATATACTTGTGTAAAAATAATAAATAAAAAAAGAAACTTCCCCTTTTCAGCATATTGCATTTTGAAGTTCATTTTGTAAAATCCAAATAAGCTTTACATATTTTTATTGGAAAGAGTTTAAAATATGTTTTTCACTTTTGTTCAGTCAACCATGCACATGCACCTGTGGAACAGTCCTTAGGCGGCAAGTCACAGACAGATATAATAACTTAGAACATTAAAGAGACCTTTCTACTACCTCTAAAAAAAACAGAAGAGATGCCCAGGGTTTCTGATTAACTTCATGAACATGCCATATCCCTGCTGCAGGCCTGCAGATGTGGCCAGAGCAACAAAACTGCAATGTCTGTAATGTAAGCGGCCTCAGACTGTGCTACAGGAATTAGAGTTAAACTCTGCAGGAAAGTGGATCTCGTGGTCCAGATTTGAGGATCCCTGTCTTACAGCAAGAAGTGGCAAATCTGGTTCAGTCCACGAGGATGAGATGCACTGTATAGGCTACTGTACTTTAAGCAGCTGGTGGACAAGCTTACTGCAACTTTTAATGTTGACTGCTCCATTGTGTAGGGACAAAACGTTCTCAATTGTTGTTTCAATTGTATATTTTCATACAAATATTTACATTTGAAATTTTGATAGGAAAATGTGGAAGTCAGAGTTATGTGTTGTTATGCCTGCTTTGGCAGTTACTCTTTCATATTATTTATTATTATTATATACCTTTTGTGTTGTTGTGCTTGCTTTTGGCAGTTACTTATCTGTCTAAAAACGTTGTTTCCCTGTTACTCATAATACTTTAGTACATTAGTACTTTGACCTGTATAATAATTCATCTACACATCACGAGATAGCCAACATACAGCACCACAGGCAGGATAATATTGCTTTTAATACTTTCCAGTTTCCAGCGAAGAACGGATCTACAACCGAAGTACGCTATTATTCCATTTATTGTCAAGATCAGCTCGACTATCTTCTAAGGAAGAGAGAGAGAGAGAGACGCCGGCAGAACTGATTTTCAATGTACGGCATCACTGGGTAGGTTTAAGAAGAAATCATGTGTGTGTGTGTGTAGAAAACAGCGAGCATTATTTTTAAAACAGCAGCATAGCGTCAGTGGACCATGGTTTTCAACGGGGAAAGGTAGACCAGTGACGCGTATGACGCAATTTTCTTCATCATCTTGATCCTCTTACATTTAGACAGCATCGTTATGTTGCGCGAGCCCTATTCTGATCTGCCGAAGACATTTGAATAATGCATAATAATGCGTGCTGGATATGCGATACACGCGTTCCCGAAAATACTATTTTGGTATTTAGGAACTGATATGGGGATTTACTGGTCATCATGTTCTGCGCGTCTGCGAAGAGATTCTGCAGGACTGAAAATCCATGATGCAATCCCAATAGATTTAATATTTTCACGTTTTACCTAGCTTTTTGTCGTTGTCATCATCATTTCAGAGCATTGTAACCCGATGAATTTGATTCAGTGAAAGATGTTTCATCATGGTGATAAAGAAGGCAAGAAATCTGCGTTTGGACATCCTGTCTACGGCCAGATTGTTCTCTCGATTATCCTCCTCCCTCCTTTTCTGGTCACCGCCTTCCCGGTTAACACAGTAGGTAAGATATCTGCATAAAAACTGCAATTATATAATTTATACGAATATGCGGGGCTTAATTCCTTTGTGGTTGCACGCTGAAATTGGCTGAAGAACCTGGCCCATCATCTTCATTAGAGGTTCTGTTCTGTTATGCCATAACAGTTGCTCCATGACATGACAATGCTGCTTTACAGCTGCATGTTGTAGGCTATATAGAATAACCTTTGGTCATGGCTAAGCAGAACATTCAAAACAAGCAAGAACCACACTCATAAAATTCCAGACATCATCTACTATAGGCCCTAAACACCTCCAGTCTATAACAACATTTTATAAAGGTGACATTTATGTAACATTGAGTAAAACCAACATCTCAGCAGAAAAGTGTTTTGACGTATAATGAAAATGCCATATTGAGTGTGATGTTGGAGACAGCAAAGTGTTTTGAAAAACGTTGAATGAAAATGCCATATTGAGTGTGATGTTGGAGAGACTACAGGGAGTGTTGTAACACGGGCTGAGTTGTAACAGTTTCACCCAACAAAAAATGAGCTCCGGGTGACATCACTATCATGCGCTCACCACCCTCCTGAGGTGATAGTAGTTGCAAGACTGTATGTAAAAATAGAAAGAATAATAATAAAACATTTTAAAGAAAATATAACAATTAGAAGAAAGAAAGAAAGAACAAAATTTCCATCTGGATTATTATTTGGTGATCATAATACATGTTAAGTTACTGAACTGGTATCCTGGCAGAATCGCCATGACTGACCAGACAGGGAGTGTTGTAACATGTTAAGTTACTGAACTGGTATCCTGGCAGAATCGCCATGACTGACCAGACAGGGAGTGTTGTAACTTTGTTTTTTTATACCTTTAGAAGTTCATTAATAATAATAATAATAATAATAATAACAACAATAATAAATATGTTCTGTATTTTTCGCATTTGTTCACATTTTTCCTGTATTTTTACCATTTTAATTAAATGCTTAAAAATAAATAATAATAATAATATTATTTATTATAATAAATAATAAATTGAGGATGATGGGTGGCCTTATAATTATTTTGAACAAGTAGTTTTTTAAATGCTTCAGAAATATGTATCAAATGGGTTAAAGATGAAAAGGGGTTTTCAAGCATCAAAACTAAAGCTTAATACAGCTTTTTTTTTTTTTTTTTTCAGGCTGAAAAGCATAAAATGTATTTAATATTTATCAAACATAAAAAAAAAAAACCTTTTTTTAAGAGGCACTGTCCTTCAAACCACTAGGTTTTACCCATTTGTCAAGAAGTTTTTAATCATTTATAATAAAGAAAAATATATATAAAAATAGTTTGATCACTTATTTTAAGTACAGATCAGAAACTACATAAATATCTGTTATGCTGAATTACAATGGAAAATTATTTGACTCATATTTAGAAATTTTATTTTTACAAATGTTAACATTTAAAGGCAGAGTAAGTGATTTCTGGTAGCCAATGTTGATATTTGAAATCACCAAAACAAACACGCCCCTACCCCAAAAGGGTCTTGCCCCTATTTTGATAGCTCCGCCCCACATACATGTACGCAACCCAGGCAACGATTAGTTCTGTGAAACAAAGCAAAACCAATGTTACAACGTGTCTACGGACGTGTGCGGTGCGGCGCAACAAATCCCCGACAGAAAACTGCTGGCGGGTTCTATTTATGACGTGCTGACACAAATTTCAAATGGTTTAAATGGTCGTTTGATCGCATCCAGTGTAGGCAGACTTTAGCTGTTGTAGACACGATGTTACTCACCTATTGAGAAGAAACAAAGCAACCTCGGCGTCCGATCGCAGGCCTCCGCTCCTTGAGTTCTCTCCAGCGCTGGAAAGCTGATCCGATATTTACACGGGTCCTACTTCTTGCCTTATCGTTCCGCAGACGTTTTCCTCTTTTGTTTTTTATCCGCCATCTCTATCTTTCTGTCGCTCGGCTCGGCTAATGTCCGTCCCATGCACTGAACGCGCTCTCCTCTACATCACGAGTAGACACGCCCCTTATTGCTGATTGGCTACAAGTTTGTTTTGCGATTCGGCCCGAATCAGTTTTCTAAAGTGTTTTTGAAAAATCACTTACTCTGCCTTTAAGTAGACATTTTGCTTGCATTTAATATACTGCCTATGTTTATAAAATCACTTGTAAATTCTATTTAATGCAGTCACCAAAATGGGATGTCAAATTAAAGTTTTGAGAGACATTGAACAAAGAACTACCAAGTTACAGATACCGAGATATTAAACATTGATACTGACACAACCTTTGCTTTAAATGCATGATTTGGTTCTTCCCTGTGTACTTTCAGTGGAGCAGTTCTGCAAGGATCCTGGTGTTCCTGAGCACGGAATCAGAACTCCAAGCAGCGGTGTGTTCTTTGAAAACTCGGTTGCCAGGTTCTCTTGTGTGGATGGTTATAGCTTAAAGGGGCCAGCCAAGATTATCTGCACGCGCTTCCATAATGGATCGGCAGGCTGGAAACCAAGCCTTAAACCAGTGTGCCTTTCGGAAGGTGAGGCTACTCCATCTTAACCTTTTAATTGTCAGCGTCCTGTTAGCGTTAAATGGTACTTTAAATCCTTTTAGCAGGCTCCTCCCCCTAGTAGATGGTGTCAAGTGTCATATTACCAAATTTACTACAATATTTTATCATCAAAACATTTTCTAATCTTTTTCAAAACGTATATTGTTGGAAAGGTCTGAGTCTCAAGGTTCCATATTTGGTGCTTATTTTGTGATAAAAACAATAATGAGAGAGAAATGTATAAATTTGTGACAGAAAGAACTGCATCAAAAAAAAAAATCAATGAAGTTTGGGTGTCACCCTGTGGCTATTTTTGCTATAACGCCTAAACATTATCAGGAACCTCAGTTTTTGTGATGTCAACTTCAAATTTGGAATATAACTTGTTTAGACACATGGCTTTGATTTTATAGCAATTTTAGATTCCAAAATATTTGGTAAAATATTTATTTTAAATAAAATAAAAAACGTATAGTACTTTTTTTACAGTAAACTTAAACTTCTATAACTTTTTTACACTTATTTTTTTTAAATGTTTCTCTTCAGCAATAATCTGCTGATTGTCTTCTTTAAAAGGAGATTAAAGGCAGGGTATGTGATTTTTCAAAAACACTTTAGAAAACGGTCTGTAAGCTTAGGTCTTCCAAAGCATTCATGAACTACAACAATTTAAGTTTGGATGCATTTTCACAGTTAAGAGGTTAAATATTTAAATTCTTTAACTCTTTAATAATTAACTAATTGTATGACAGTGTCACAGCATTTTTTATGTAGCTGCTCTATCTTTCAAAGATTGTCTTCCTCCATTCATCGAGGATGCTGATGTCACAAATAAGACGTACAGGCCTGGTGACAGCCTCATTATTAGCTGTCATGAGGGATTTCAGATCCGATACCCTGACACAGAAACTATGGAATCAGTCTGCCAGGCAGATGGGACATGGGATAATCAGCCAACCTGTCAAGGTTTGATGCAAGCCATTTTTTGCCAATTATTCAAAACAAATCTACTGTGTAACTGACTGTAATTCAATAAACACCACACTCTTGAAGATAGTTTAGATCTGGAAAGGGTTTCATGCACTGTCCTCTGTCTCCACAGGCTGCCTCCGGCCGCTGATACCTCCACACAGTTACATGAACATCTCAGAAACAGAGTTCTCTGTGCCTGTTGGGACTGTGGTCCACTACCAGTGTTTTCCTGGATACAAGTTGGAGGGACCTGAACTTCTGGAATGCATGTATAACCTCATCTGGTCGAACACGCCACCCCAGTGCCTTGATGTTGAGGGTGAATAGAAGTATAATTTAGCAGCTTTAAGTTGAAAAATTAACAGATATGTTCAAAAGACGACATAATTTTGTAATTATAATATTTTATTTAGTTTAATGTCGTCTATCTATAATTTTATCTTTTATAGATTCATTTTATAATTACAAATCTTTTTAGAACTATAATCTTTTATGATTGCACCCTGAAAACTACTTGTAGCTTATGGTTTATAGTTTATAGACTTTAGTTTTCTCTTAATGAAAGACACGTAAAAAATCTAAATCTTTATGTAAACATTTGAAATCTACTTATAAAATCTGCAATAATGTAAACAGAATATTAAGTAATTATGTTATTTAGGAATGCGTAAACAAATACAGGGATAAATATTCAAATGTGGTCTGGGACTCAGGAAGAGGAAATGAGTAATCTGATTAAGATGTCTTTTTCTGTGTCTGATGTTTTACAGCATGCTCTTTACCCCCGATGATAGAACATGGAGATTACATGTGCCACCCACAGCCATGTGACCGCTACATTCATGGGACGGTCGTAGAATACTACTGTTATCCCGGCTACTCTTTAGCGAATGACTACAAGTACATCACCTGCCAGTATGGACAATGGTTTCCACAAATGCAGTTTTACTGCATCAAAGATGGTAAATTAGCCTGCATTCATTTCAGTAAAAGATTACAAACAATTTTATTTGGTCAATCATAATCAGATGAACCTTGCACATTAGCGCAAGGAATGTGCAATGAGAAATAATAATAATCATTTTTAATAATGTCGTTAGTTTTGAAATTGATACCCCAGTTGAATATGCATATACTATTTCATTTTATAAATAATATATATGAATTAATGTTATTTTCTGGTATCATATAATGAACCTATAAAAATTGACCTATTTACTGACCTTATTTAGTTTTTTGCACACTCATGGTCTCTCTCTCTCTCTCTCTCTCTCTCTCTCTATTTATATTTATATATATATATATACTGTATATATATATAAATATATATATATACATACATACATACATACACACACACAATTAAATCGATTGTTTTGAACATTATTTCAGAATATTTATATTTCAAATAGATAAATTATATTCTCTTAAACTTTATGTTAATCAAAAATCCTGAAAACAATGCATCACAAAAATATTCAACTGTTTTTAGCATTGATAATAATGTTTCCTGAGCACCAAATCAGTATATTAGAATGATTTCTAAAGGATCAAGTGACACTGAAGACTGGAGTAATGGCTGATGAAAATTCAGCTTTGCATCACAGAAATATATTACATTATAACATATAATAAAATAGAAAATCGTTTTTTTTATTTGTAATAATATTTCACAGTATTACTATTTCTACTTTTTTGATTAAATAAATGTAGCCTTGTTGAACATAAAAGACTTTCAAAAACATTGAAAACTCTTAAAAATCTTCTATATACATTTTTATTTTTTATGTATATTATATATGAATATACTTTTTGTCTGAAAATGTTGGGGTCAGTAAGATAAATGTATAAAATAATTTGATTCCTTCGCATTAAAACAGTTAAGATTCATATCTCCTATCCTAAACAGAATGTTAAACTTGGCTGTACAAGTTAACAAGCAGAGCTTTATTCCCATAGAGACAACATGGCCTGGTTTTCAAGACTCTCTACTAACCACATGGAAAGTAGTGGCTTGTACAGCCACTAGTGTGCTGCTAGCTCTGCTCTTGGTGATCACAGGCAAGATGTTCCACTTCAAATGCAAATCCCAGCAAAGTCCAAGGTACGGCTGACATTATAATCATACAGTGTAGTCTGCTCTACTCTTAACTTACTCATTAAAACAAATGGTAACACTTTATTTCGATAGTCCACTTTAGACATTCTATTAACAGTAAGTAACTTTGCAACTACATGTCAACTAGCAGTTAGTAGAGTATTAGTAGACTGTCTGCTTAATATCTTCTAACACTTTCTTTGTCAACTTATTCTACTAACCCTAAACCTACCCTAACAGTCTACTCTGAGAGTTAGTAGACATGTAGTTACAAATTAATGAGAACTAGTTGACATGTAGTTGACATGTAGTTACAAAGTTACTTATAGTTAATAGAATGTCTAAAGTGGACTATCGAAATAAAGTGTAACCAAACAAATTTCTTGCTTTTTTCAGTGAAGAGCAAGATGAAAGCCGAGATCCTAACATCTTGGTTGTAGATGGTGTTGCTGTACCACTTCCCTCTTATGAAGAGGCTGTTAGTGGTACCTACTGTCAGCCCCCAAACGATCTGCCCCCTGCTGGTCTGGGGAGCTCACAGCATTCAGAAGAACAAAACCCACCTTCATATCCCGGGCATACAGGGAGTCATAATGGTGTGCCCTTGGACACTGGTGAGGCTGAGACCTGTGATAGCATCTCGGACACATCAGAATGTCTTCAAGGCATACAGCCATCTTCTTCCCATGCTGGTGGACTCAATAACATGTCTGAGAGAACCAATGCCATCACCTCTATGGAGGAGACCGCCTCCACAAGCCCCAGCATAGACATTGCAGATGGTAAGGCTGTAGGCTGCTGCCACCTAGTGGTAGAAACGCACACTGTTTTATAATATTATTTGTAACATATTTGAATTCAGAGACACTTACCAATGTATTGCTTTGAATTTCCAGAAATTCCTCTCGTGGAGGATGGTGAAGCGGACTGCTGATTGATTACCTTTAACTGAAAATGGGACACTTGAGATTGTTTCACTCCACTGTTGGTTATTTCATTGTTCATTTCTGATTTTGTTGAACAACATGGCACAGGCCAAATTACTGCTCATAAGGAATTATTGCACACTTATATTTAATGAAGAGCACACCAGGGAAGGATAGGCAATAAAAAAATAATAATCAAAAACTAAATAAATTACCATTTCCTGCTCATGAAGGAACTATGCAGTAGACCATAGCATATTGTTAATTTAACTTTCCCACAATACATAGCATCTAAGTACTATCAATTATTTTTCTTGTGACTTTCACTTGGCAACCGTGCTGCATTCTGGCCAGCTTTCAAATGGTATGGACTGTAACAATTATGAATATTTCTTAAATAAATAATGTTAACTTTACATTTGAGTTTATTTTGATTGAAGTTCAGTGCATTCATCCAGGTGAACCTTGGATGAAACTAGGTACAAGCCAAAGGCAGGTGCACTGCATACATTATGACAAGCTGACAACATTTGGACTATATTGGTTAATAACTCACATATAAGCTAATTTACTTTTAACAGACCACAAATATAGCTGAGAGCACAGCTCTAACAAGATGTCTTTTTGAAGTGATTTGGGAAAGAAAAAACACTGCTAACATGGGCAGATAAAAGTAACATTTACATTTACATTTCTTAGAGGCAGATTAAATACGGAATGAGAAGTCTCTTTAGGTGCAGCAGCACATTACACTCTTTCCAGTTCATGTGGCTGGATCGCTGCATATGGATAGATTATATGAGGAATGTCATAAACCGAAAGCTATCTTTCAATGTGCCTGTCATTGAAGAGCAACAGATGGCTTATGCATGCGTGATACAGACTTTCTTCTAAAGACATTAGCCTACACAATAACATTGTGCAGCTTTGAAAGTTAGCCAACTAAGCAAGCAAGAATTTGAATAGCTATCTGTTAAAAAAAAAACACTATGCTTCTAATGTTAAAGGTCAAGATGGTGAAATGATAGTAAATAAATATTTCGTTTAACGGCCAATAACTATAATAGTCATTTATAATTATTGGCCATTAAACAGATTCACTGCTAACATGGGCAGATAAAAGTAACATTTACATTTACATTTCTTAGAGGCAGATGAAATACGGAATGAGAAGTCTCTTTAGGTGCAGCAGCACATTACACTCTTTCCAGTTCATGTGGCTGGATCGCTGAATATGGATAGATTATATGAGGAATGTCATAAACTGAAAGCTATCTTTCAATGTGCCTGTCATTGAAGAGCAACAGATGGCTTATGCATGCGTGATACAGACTTTCTTCTAAAGACATTAGCCTACACAATAACATTGTGCAGCTTTGAAAGTTAGCCAACTAAGCAAGCAAGAATTTGAATAGCTATCTGTTAAAAAAAAAACACTATGCTTCTAATGTTAAAGGTCAAGATGGTGAAATGATAGTAAATAAATATTTCGTTTAACGGCCAATAACTATAATAGTCATTTATAATTATTGGCCATTAAACAGATTCATTTCTTTGTGTTACAGGTAGGGACAAAAAATCTTCTTGCGGTAGTATTTTTCAGTATATAGATTTTTTTTTTGGATAGTTTTTTTTATCATATTTTATTATACTTAAACTAGACGCATAAATCAATAGTAATTAATTTCTTAGTTTTTGTTATTATTTATTTATTTTGGACATTTCTGCGTCTTATTATTTTTGTCCACTAGATGTCACACATGAGTTTGTTTTCAGGGACATAAGCTTCGGCTATTAACAGAATTAGTTCTAAATTTCATTATTTCATATATTTTTAAAACATAATAATATAACGGTAAAGTGTAATTAAATGTAACTTCAGGTGTATTTGTCAAGGATGGCTCTGTAGGCTACTTGATTTATTCGTTTTACTGATGTTGTTGAAAGTAGGCTGTGTTGATATGTTCTAGTATCTGTTTCATTAAAGGTCATGTAATAAATTATGATACTAGCCTTGACAGAAAAAAAATCCATAAAATTAATTCCGGTCAAGTTTTGTAAATCAGCAGTTTTTTTTATTTTATTTTTTTGGACGCGAGTTCCAGAAGTTTATCGAATATAAAAAAAACTTTTTTTAACCAATTATTAAACAAAAATATGATAGTTTTATGTACAGTGTATTACATCGCTATATAATGGCAAGTACATGGTATCCTGTTATCAAATGGCAAACACGCACATTAAACGAAGAGCGGGGCAGGCGCGCGCGAACGCACGCACTCGCAGCATACTTGCTTAACTAGACATACTGTACACACACGTTTAATAGCAAACACTACTCTTAGGCACATGGCAAAAATGCCGAGAGAGCCGGATTCACTCAGTCATCATCGTGCAAAATGCCCTGAGGATAGATTCCTGACCAAGAGGACCGAATGGCTCCAAGGACCCTTCAGACTCCTCATTATAATCATTTACTTCTTTTTTTTTTGGATAGTTTTTTTTATCATATTTTATTATACTTAAACTAGACGCATAAATCAATAGTAATTAATTTCATAGTTTTTGTTATTATTTATTTATTTTGGACATTTCTGCGTCTTATTATTTTTGTCCACTAGATGTCACACATGAGTTTGTTTTCAGGGACATAAGCTTCGGCTATTAACAGAATTAGTTCTAAATTTCATTATTTCATATATATATATATATCATCGTGCAAAATGCCCTGAGGATAGATTCCTGACCAAGAGGACCGAATGGCTCCAAGGACCCTTCAGACTCCTCATTATAATCATTTACTTCTCTTATTTGAGACATACTTTGGCACATCCTCAGTGTCTGGACTACCGGCCACCTTTTAAACCCCCTTACCACCTTGAGTTTTGCAGGCACTATGAGAAATTTGGTTGCTGTGACCAAAAAGCAGACAACAGTATTGCAATGAGATACTGGGATATAATGGACCTGATTGGTGATGAGGCATATGCAGTGTGCGGTGATTTGGTCAAAGATATTATGTGTCAGGTATGTATGATCCTTTATTAACAAATAAGATGAAATTCCTACTGTAGTAAACTGCATTTTTATATATATATATTTTGTTATTTATGTTTTAACAAGTTTGTTTTTTGAAATGTTTGAAATGTGTTAGAAGGTATCTGAGAAGTTGCACTTTCATATTTATATTATAATATTAAACAACAACTTGAACAATTAATAGTGCCCTGAATAACATATTTTATAAGTTTATTGTCCTGCATATGCCCATTGCTCTCTTATATTAAACAGCTTAATATCATATCTAAAATGTAAGGGATGTAATTAGGATTTATTTAATTATTTATTTAGTAATAGTTTTGAGGAGTTTGCTTTTGACAGCAGAATAGAGTGTAGTCTACATGTCTGATATTTTAATACATGTAAATGCTTAAATTATTTCAGTTTTTCTCAGTAGCTGTCATTCACTGATGTAAATACATTTGCAGAAATTCACAGTAAACTCTTTTGTTAGTGGTAAGACAATCGTCAGTCTTATTGCACATACATTTAATTAGATGTGAGAGCTTTTAAAAACAAACTCCAAATCTAAAGATTATATAGTGTGTTTGTGCTGCAGATGAAGGATATCTCATATCAGGCTCTTTTAAAAGTTGTACAGTTACATTTTGAAGTGATTTTACATGTAGTTTTCACTGGGGCAGTTTAAATAACTTACATTTAAAGCGCCCCTATTATGCCATTTCCAATATTGCCTTTCATGCAGTGTGTAATGTAGCTGTATGTGAATGTAAACGATCTGCAAAGTTGTAAAGCTGAAAGTGCACGATAAATAAAGTTATTGTCTCCCAAAATAAAGAATCGACTCTGTACAGCCTAGATGAGTCGTTAGTAATTCGAATCCCACTTCCGTTACGGCTACACGTCACGGGATAACACATTTGCATAATGCACGCCTATGTTCTATCAAAGTCCCTTTAAGACAAGTCATGTCACTCGGCGGCCATCTTTGAAACGCCTCTCGGGCATGTAAGTGCAACTCCTATGTCTTTGAATGGGGAAGCATGAAATTCTCCAAAACGGTTCACTAAACTTATTATTGGATTTCATATTTGAAATCACCAGAGAAATCTGACAACAATATCATAAATGTTGTTTCTTTTGCTCAAATAGCGTTATAAAAATCCAATTTTTTGGGCTAGATCAGCCAGTGCGCATGTGCAGTTCTAGCACACATCTCAGAACGCTGACTGTTTCTATAGCAACCGGGACTTCTAACGGCAGCTGCAGTGATGCGCTGACTTTACCGATTAGCTCGTTCATACAGAAGGCGGGGCTTGCTGCGATTGAGCGGCCATATTGAGCGTTGCATTTTTCCCTATTCAAAACTATACGAGAGACACGTCTTGGGTATTCTATAGTCTTTAGTTCTATGTTGGCCGGCCGCGAACAACTTGACCCCGCCCACAAACACGTCATTTTACTGACGACTGCTTCTCTAATCTTGGGGAGTTCAACACGGGATTCACAAAACGCTTGCTGTTGAAAGATGGATCAGTATCCTGTTTATTTGGACCAGCTGCTCCACTGAATCACAACCTGTAAGTTTGATAAATAATAGATGTTTATATTTTCTATAGAGCGTTAAAAATACAGAACTATTGAAATAGGCGTATCGTTTCCGACACCGCTGTACGCCGTAGACCAATCATAACAGACTAGGCCATCTGACCAATCAGAGCAGGCTCACGGAAAGGAGGGGTTTAGAGAGACTGAATCTTTGAACTGCTTCGAACGAATTGTTTGAGAATCGCTGGAAAATGAGGTGATATTAAATGCATATTTTGAGAAAACGAAAGAGTTTTTTGACCTTGCATGCATGTAATCCTATTGTAGGAGACTCCCAAAACAATATTAGGAACTGTAAAAATGGCATAATAGGGGCACTTTAAGGATGAACCAGATCCATATTATAGGGCAGGGGTGCCCAGTTCTGCACTTGGAGTCATACCTTCCTGGAAAGTTTAGCTCCCGTCCTAATTAAACACACCTGAACCAATTAAGCTCTTCAGGAACACTTGATAATTACAAACAGGTGGAGCAGGGTCAGAACTAGTGTTGTATAGTCCAGACCAGCTAATTCAAGTCAGAGTTCAGGCCAAATCTGAAAAGGTTCAGTCAGAGTCTGAGAGAAAGTCGTATATGAGTCTGAGTTGAGTTATAGACCTAAAGAGCAAGGGTGTCCAATTCTGCTCCTGGAGGGTCAACATCCTGCTGAGTTTAGTTCCAACCAGCTCCAAAACACTTGCCTGGAAGATTCTAGTGAGTCTGAAGACCTCGATTAGCTGATTCAGATGTGTTTAATTAGGGCTGAAGCCAGTGCTTGAAGTGGAAAAAAAGAAGTGCCGGTACTTCCCCACCCACCCATCGCCCCACAAGGTTGCCAAGTTTTCACAACAAAACCCGCCCAATTGCTACTCAAAACTAGCCCAAAACTAGCCGAATCACAATTCGAGGATGACAAATCGCATTAAAATAGATGTTTTTTGGCAGGATTCCCCCGGTAAAATTTGCATTCCAGGGGCTAAATATCAAGTTATTGGGGTAGATGCAACAGTGTTAAGGTAAGGACTTGGCAACACTGCCCCTGAGGTATACCAACACCACTTGCATTCATTCACGTGATTAGTCGAGATGACAGGTGACCCCTCTGGGTAGTGTTATTTATAGTGTAATTTCTAATCACCCAGACACTGACGCTTTGACGGGCAACATGTCAGAAGTGCCGGTACACACAAAAAAGTGCCGGTAAGCTAAAGACTAAAATATTGAAGTGCCGGTACTGCATACGTTGCTGTGGGGATGGGCAAATCTGGCCCTCGAGATCTATTTTCGTGCTTTGCAGGAGTTTAGATCCAACCCTAATAAAACACACGTTAACAAGCTAATCAAGGTCTTGGGGATTGCTTGAAGTTGAGTTTAATGAGGGTTGGAGCTATATATATGCAGGAAAGAAATCTCCAGTTGTCCAATCCTAGTCTGAATGATTCAGACAATATAAATATGATTTTCTTTAGGGTGATGAAGACTTGTTTTGCATCAGTTACATTAATCTCTGCAGCACACACACAATAGCACAGAGCAGATCATATGCAAGCGTCAACACAGACCACAAAACTTATCTACAGCATTGTAGTACTCAAGCCTGGACTCGGTCTTGACTCAGACTCCAGATGCTCTCAAGTCCACGAAAATGGTCTTGGAGTCAAGAAGTCCTTGAGTACTACAACACTGGCTGGAACTGCTCTACAGCAAGGTAGAACTCCAGGAACAGAACTGGGCCCCTGTTATAGACTAGAACATCAGATAATTGTGGGTGGGGACGTTTGACTTGAACCAGTAAGCTTCAGAAAAAAAAAAAGTGAAAGTGACGTGACATGTGGCCAAGTATGGTGATTCAGAGAGGTTAATAGGTTTGATCTATGTTGTTGTGCACGTGCTGTCAAAATATACATGTTAAAGGAACAGTTCACCTAAGAATGAAAAATCTCTTATCTTCTCACCCTGAATTGTTCCATATGCGCACATTGTTATTTTTTCTGTGAAACTAAAAATCTTCTTGCGTCTTAAAATTGCGTAAAAATGTAATTGTCAACGTGTCGGTCAAGTCCCAAAAATGCTTTAGATTTCAGTATATGTCATGTCAAGCTGCACGTAAAACCTGAGACACACGGCACGATTTTCGGCTGTCCCAGACAAAAGATTGGCATTGTGAAACAATCGTGGCAATTTCTGTGATTGTAGCTCCTAATCGGTGGTCTTGTGTCGTACAGTGAGAGAGGTTCAAAGACGGCCGTTGTCACGGTCTTGCGACCAAAGATAGCCTACGATAATTTTCTGACAGTGTCAGAAAATTCAGCATGATCATCGCAGTGCGTTTGCTGCTACGACCCACGTTTACTGACCAGCCAATAAAAATGAGACATGAAATCAACGCGTCATGACGCTAAAACATAAAACTGCTTACCTCAAGCTCTTATCCCTTCCTCTTTTGCTGCTTACACTTTTTTTCTGCACACATAAAAACAGCTTCCAAAGTGTGATTCATCATACTCTTTTTGTTTACAGCTAGCGCATGCTGATGACGTTGTATTCTTCCATAGGAACATGTCGTAACGTATGACTCAATAGGTGTCATCATCATACAGTCTACATGTATGTCTCTACCCAAGTTTATTAGATCCATGTCACACAGTGTGATCTGCATTGATCTTATAGGATTGCTAAAATCATGCAGTGTGTAGAAGGCTTTAATGACATTATCAAACCTCATTGGTTCTTTCGAGTCTCATGACCAAATGTTACTGAAGTCTAAACTCACGCCATAGTTGATTTCAGAGAAAACCGACTGTTCTTAACACAAAGCCATCATTTGACTTCAGAACATTTTGGTTATTGTGGTACAGACTTTGTAATGGTGCTTTTATGGTTTTGAATAGTAGGCTATTTCATGTGTTTCCTTCTCAATTTTTTCTTAAATGTTGTAAACAAATCGGTTTCTACAGAGTTATTCTTGAGATTGAGGAGCCTGCAGCAAACCATAATGGTGGGCAGCTTCTGTTTGGTCTAGACGGATATCTGTACATCTTTACAGGGGACGGTGGAAAAGCAGGAGACCCTTTTGGAAAGTTTGGAAATTCCCAAAACAGGTAAGGACAGTTTTTAAACTGTCAAAACTGAAACATTTTATAATAATTGGTGTAGAATTAAGAGTATGAGTGTCACAAATCATGCATAGTGCTTTGATACAACTCCAATAACTCCCTCTTAGACACTTTTATCACAAAAGCTTTACCTGCTATGCAAATATGTTTCAGATCAGCATTGTTAGGAAAAGTGCTTCGGATTGATGTGGATGGTAGCAGTATAGATGGGAAGCCCTATAATATTCCTCCAGACAATCCCTTTCTCGGAGAGCCTGATGCAAAGCCAGAGGTCTATGCCTATGGTGTGAGGAATATGTGGCGCTGCTCAGTGGATCGAGGGGATCCACTCACTGGTTACGGGAGAGGGAGAATATTCTGCGGTGATGTGGGTCAAAATCGATATGAGGAGGTTGACATCATTGTGAAGGGAGGAAACTATGGATGGAGAGCCAAAGAAGGCTTTGAATGCTTTGATATGAAATTATGCCAGAACTCTTCTCTAGGTGAGCTGGACCGTAGAATAATGACACACACATTTGGGTCAGAGAAAATGACAGATCAAATGGAGCATTCCAGAAATTTTTACTGCTCAATGAAACTGGTCACTGGAGAACTTCATACCACTGGCCAGTCAATAAATTTGTGCTCCTGATTTCTGGAGATTCATTTTGAGCATTTTAAATGATCTTGAATGAATAGTTACTTTAAAAAAGTCATTATTTACTCCCATGTCATTTTTGAGCAGCTTGTGTTTTCCATATAAGAAAAGTTGATGATTTACACTGCCAAACTCCCGAATGAGAAAAAAAAAACATATAATAAAAAAAGAAATTTTGAATTTTAATACATTCTTGATTTCAAGTCTTCTTAATTCCTATGATAGACTTGTTTGAGAAAATGTATACACACATTTATAATCTTTTCCTCTGCATAGCTCTCTGATCTTATTTAATTTAGCATTTTTCAATCTAGCTAAATTGCAATTGGACACATGACACAAGAAACAATGACGTTTGGTGACAATGCAATAAACCTAAATTAAAAATAAATAAATAAAGCAAACAAAGGCCTCTAACGCTAGCTTGCTCTATTCTTTTTTCTTTTTATTTACTATATAATTTTTTTAAATCCTTGCTATGTGTACTGCGTTAAGCTAAGCTAACTGTTATAGCATTTGCGTATCATTGCTCTTTTGTTGTTTTTGATTGCTTCCATAGTCCTCATTTGTCAGTCGCTTTGGATAAACGTGGCTGCTAAATGACTAAATGTCAATGAAAATGTAAATTCAGTGAAATAATGGCTTAAATTTTTGTCTGTTCCTCAGACAAAGATAGAGTAAAGCTACAGTAAGACTTGGAAATATAATGCACAAGTTACATGGATCAAATTTATGATTTTTCTGTCCTTTTTAGAGCTTGGCAGTATCTTAATATGTAGAAAGTAGGTTGGACATTCTGGATTCATAAAAAAAAAATTTTTGAATGTATTTTTAAATTAATTTTAATTAAAGAAAGAGAATAATTTAGGATCAAAGTAACACAAGTGGTGAGAAACTAATAACAGACGGTTCTTTTTAGGATGTAATGTAAAGAAACTGCTTAACTTTAAGTATGTAATGAACAAACTCTAATTTCTTTACACAGTTTTAATTACACAAAAACATTTTTTGTTTTTATAGATGACATTCTGCCAATATTTGCCTATGGACACCATGTTGGGAAATCCGTAACTGGAGGTTACGTGTACAGAGGATGCGAATCACCTAACCTCAATGGTCTTTATATTTTTGGAGACTTTATGAGCGGGTAAGGACCAACTCTCTTTCATTTTTTAACAACTAAACCTAACTGTCTTTCATGCACAATCAGCTCTCAATTAGAGCTATAAAATTTGAAGCTCATGAGAGTCATTTTTAGGTCAATCGGTCTACTTTTTTTCTTAAAATATGTCTGGGAGCATTGACAATTCAAGCTTTTGTTCCTATTCAGACGATTAATGGCTCTGGAGGAGGTTAAGAAATCTGGGAGTTGGAAGGAAAAGAATGTGTGCATGGGTGACACTAAAACCTGCTCTTTTCCTGGCCTTATAAATCATCACCACAAGTTCATCATCTCATTTGCAGAGGATGAAGCGGGTGGGTTTGTGTACAGTACAATATAAGGCACAATATACATATTAATGCAACTGTGGCTGAAAAATATTCATACTATGTGTATGTGTATATATATATATATTTATTTTATTTTTTTCCCTGAAGGAGAACTTTATTTTTTGGCGACCTCCTACCCAAGTGCAATGTCTCCCTTTGGCACGCTTTACAAATTCATGGATCCATCCAGGTAGGTATATTTTGCTACACTTGGATACATTTTTACTCAAACAGTCTTAAAATGCACACACGTGCAGTACAGTAAAAATGAGATGACAACATTTTTTTTGCAACATTTCAACTTTGCCTAATCTGTCTATACTGTATAACCAATGATGGGAAAATTCCCCATTAAAAAAAAAAAAAGAGTTCTTAAAATGTAACGGATAAGTCTCAGTTAAGACATCATGCTGGGAGACAGAAGGACTACAGGACGTGTCAGTTTAAGCGTCATGCGGTCTATATTCCTTTGGAATCTTGGAATCTGTTGCACATGCTTCCACCAAATGGTTTCCATCCAGACTTCTGGAAATCTGCTATCTACCACAGATCATAAATACTTATCAGTAATAACTCAATGATTTGTTCATGTTATTCTGTGAGATAGGGGGTCTGATATATTGAAATGTCGATTTTACTATATTTTATTTTATTACAGTGCCTTTAAAATACGTTGAATCTAGTAAAGGATGAATAAATGACTTAAATAGAGACTGAAATAATGTAAAGAACCAAACATGATCTTTTTGATGTTTTAAACAATTAACCAATGGAGAAATCAAGAGTCATCCTGCTGGAAGCAGCAAGACTACGGGAGATTATCAGCACATCTGAAATCACTCACTAATAGAAATGCCATACATTAGTCCCAGCTGTTCTGTATTCTTTATCCCTCCTTAAATAGCCAAGTGGAAAAAAAAAAACAGAGATTCATTACTAATAGGAGCAGTAGAAGGTCATTGCCCTCACAAACACACACAGCCTTGTATATGGGTCAAAGACGAAAAAGGGTTTAAGCATAAAAACAACAAGTGTAATACTGCTTTAAATTGTTGTTGTTTTCCCAAAAATTGCAATTTTGTTCTTGTTTTTCCGGGCAAAAAATAAATATCATAAATTTTTCCCCTGATTTACAGAAGAGACCCACTAAAATGTAATTCAGTGTAACATTCTTGTCAGGCATATTTACAACAAAAATCACTTTATGACATATTAAAAGACTAATTACTTTCACCCCAAATACTAATTAGTCGTAATTTTACATTTTTTAAATTTGCCACTATCCTAGGTTTTGCCCATTTGTCAGTAAGAATTTTTACTCCTTTAAAACACAATAAAATTTCATATGCTCCCTTATTCTTTTATATATTTTAATATGTACACGTCAGAATAAGCACGTTGTTTGAATTTTTACCTAAATATTGTGTTACACCGAATGACAATGGAACATTATTTCAACCAAATTTTGAAATTTTATTCTCCAAAAACGTATTTGAAACCTTAAAAGTAGACACTTTACTTACATTTAATGTGCTTTCTATGGCCATATAATCACGTTTGTAAATTTCTTTTGATCCGGACATCTTAACATCTTTGATCCATATACATTTATGTTGAAATAATTATGATGCCATTTTAAATGTCTTTTTTACCTCACGGCACTAAAGGAGTCCTACATTTTTAAGGTTAATGAAGTCATTTCCTCTGTCTGTCTCTATTTACAGGAGGGCACCTCCAGGAAAATGCAAATACAAGCCACTTCCTGTAAAGGTCAGAGGGAAGAAAGTGCCATTCACACCGCGAGAATGTAAGAATATTTTACATCCTAAAAAATTATTGGTGCTGTTTACGCTGTAAAAAAAAAAAAATTATGTTGTAAATAAAACAAACACTGGAGTACATTTTACAAGAAAATAGTACTTCAGTTTATCTATTTCAAAAGTTCACATTTAATTCAATGTTACTTGCTGTTTCTTGTTTGTGGAATTTTCTATTTTTTTTTTTCTATTATTTATTTTATTATTATATTTTAAGATTACCAAAGAAAATCAATTGCATTATGTAACAGAATTGCCTGAAGACTCATAAACATATATGTATATATATCATTTTTTTTAAGTGACTGTGCTTGGCATAAGTGAAACCCCTACAAGATCACCACTGGAAAAGATCTTACTCCCCACTAAACCACCAGGCACACGCCAGCCCACAAGGGCCAAACCCACCACATCTGCACCAAAGAAAAAAATTCTGGCCAAAACCACTACAGCAAAGTTGAGCCAAGAAAAGTTAAAGAAGACGACTCAGGCAAAGGAGAAGCAAATAAACACAAGCACAAAAACACTAAAGAAGGTTCCTCCTAACAAGAAGTCATTGTTGCAAACCAAGAAGGACAAACAAGCCACAGGAAAGCCATCTCACAATCCCAAACTGTCCATAAAAGGAGCTCCGGAAAAAAAGAAAACTAAACCTCTCAAACCAACAAAACCAAAAGATGTGACAAAGCCCAAGGTCTGGCTACAAAAGACTGAAAAGACTAAAAAAGAGGTGAAGAAACCCGTGAAGAGCCAACCTAAGGTGACTGTTTCTAAAAAGAATCAAGACAAAAGCAAAAAGACTAAAAATATCCCTTTCACAAAAAAGAGAAAACCGTTTAAATAAGCCATGCGTGTGGTGTAGTAATTAGATGGTAGTAATGTAGAGCAGTAAAGCGAATTCAAAGAGATCCTGTTCAAACAATGTATCAATTGAATTGCAGTTTTGAGGTCAGTCAGATGTGTGATATGAAAGACCACAGAGAAAACCACAACAGTCCTGCGCCAACATTTGATTTAGTTTAGCATGCAACACAGAAACATTCTTCAAATGTTGGACTTATTTTTGGAATGTGGTGAAGTAATTAGTTTGGGGCGACGATCTTTATTTTAGACCAAAACTCAAATTAAAAGGATACATTCTAAATAAAAAAACTAAAATGCTTTTGAAAGACTTTCTTAAACATAACTCTTTGAAACTAAAATACATTGAATTATAAAATGTGCTAATTTTATGACATACCTAAGAAAGTCCAAAATGCAAATTTTTGAAATGCAAACCCAAAGTGGCACTGTTTTTCCTTTAATAGACACAGGCAGAAAGCAAACTTATATATACCATGCATAAGTCTTTCTTGGTGCAAGTAAAAATGGTTTATTCAATAAAGTGTTTTGTCTTGCTTACAATTAAATTATTTTTAATGCAGATCCAAGTCTGTATGAGGGTGTAAATGAGGTATTACTTACTACACCCTTGGTGTTTGTAGCACTAAACTACAAAAGCAGTTTTGTGATTGAAGATTTAAGGGGAACCACCATTGCTGAACAGGTCTTTAGAATTTTACTGTATTAAAATACTTTTTTTCTTTTGCTATTGTACATGCACATATTTGCATATTATTCCAAAAGTAAAACGGAATTTGAAAATGGTACAACTTTTAAAGGGGTCACTGGATGCCCATTTTCCACAAGTTGATATGATTCTTTAGGATCTTAATGAAAAGTCTGTAACATAGTTTGGTTAAAATTTCTCAATGGTTGTTTAAAAAACACCTTTTTTACCCAGTCAAAAACAGCTCTTTTCATAGCAAGCCATTTTGTAGCATTTTCCTTTAAATGTTAATGAGCTCTGCTGACCCCGCCCCTCTC